ACCCTGTAATAAAGAAAAAGTTTATTTAATTTTACAAACAAAAAAATGTAACTAGCAAATTATAATGAACATAAATTCAGGTGGGAAAGGTCTTAAAAATATATTCTTTAAAAAGTCACACCAAGATAAACATATTTCTTTTCTAGCAGGGTTATGGAGTTAGATCAGGGGCTGTGAGATGCACTGGATACATCCCTTCCAAGGAGACATCAGGCCTGCAACTCAGATGCAAAAGTCTCCCCATTGAGGGTCAGAGTGAAGAGAACAGGGGAGTCCAAATTCTAAGCCCCAAGGCACTTAGATCCCTCCCTGAGAAGTACTGACAATGACGAGGCCACTGCAATGCAGCAGGAAGTGCCAAGCAGAGAGGAGTAAGGGGTTAATTCTAAGCTGCCTAAGGTAAAAACATCCCAGAGTTACCTGTTCATCCAAAAGAGTCAGGCAGGAGGGGTTGGGGTTTTGACCATCAAACGATAACCTCTAAAATACAAGAATGTCCTCATTGGTCACGTTACTAGAACATCAAGGTCATGGGAGATAATGGTTCTCTGCATGCTGCCCCAGTTGGATCACATAGGAATACCGTGCTCAGTTTGGGATGTAACATTTCCAAAAGAACAGAGATGGGAAAACTATGATAAGAAAATTCATGGTTGAAGGCAATATGAATGTTAAACTTGGAGACAAGAAGATGAAGGTGTGATGCAATCATTCTATTAAAAAATTGTGGAGCTGTTACATTGACAAACTAACTTGTAATGAGTGTTTCCAGAAAACAAAAAGTTCAAAACCTAGTTCAGCCAGGGGCTCTGCACTGTGCTCTTCTAGTGCTCTGCCTATCTGTATCATTGTGCTTGCCCCTTCGTATAATTATCACTGACTGTGACCCTCTAAGAGGCAGCGAGGTGTCTTATTCACCTTCATGTCCCCAGCAGTCAGTGCTGTGCCTGACACATGGTAGGCACTTGAAGTTGGGAGGCACGTAGATTTTGGCTCAATATAACTTTAACTCAAAGAACACCAAACACAAGAGAAAGCCAGCAATGGACTGGACTCTCTGGTGAGACGATGAATGTTTAGTCACTGGAGGAATCAAGAGGAACTGGATTCCTTCACTGGGTGAAGGCTTGTAGTAGATGACCTCTGAGATCCTTCCAACTTAAGGAGCTGTCAGTTAAGGTTGGTTTCAGGTCTGCCAATGATAGCCTCTCAGGAGTCTCTCCTGACAGCTAATGGTCTCTACGTCCTTATCTTTCAGGGAGACGGGTAGCAGGGGACGACGAGGTAGGGGAAGAAAGTGTGACTACAAGGGAGAACTCACTTTTGCCAATAGCCCTTAGTGAGTTCTCAAATGTGCTAGAGCAAGACCAATTACCTCTTGGATCAATTAAAGGGAAAGAAGGGAGATGACATGGGTGGCAAACACAACATGACATAGGGCAGAAGGAAGAGGCAAGAAAGCTCCCTCCGATTCAAACTTCCCATATCTCGAAGTCTTCACCATTTCTACCCACCAAATCACCATATCGGGATCTATAGAACAGAAAGAATTGGGGAGACAAGATCAAGGAAATTACAGGTGGCAGGGTTGCCACATTGAACAACTCCAGAAGACACCATTAACCTCATAGTCATGGGAATGGTGCTCTCTGGTCTTGAGCAGTGCATAATCTGCACAGCAGGACATGGTGGTCCTGGTGAGACCAGAATGCTGGCCAGATGAGGGTTTCCTTTATACTTACTCAGAAATGAGATGGGAGAGATTAGTATCAAAGTCCCAGAAAAACAACAGCAATAGCAACAATGAGCTACTTCAACGTGTATTCAAATTTAAGATCTCCCTACTTGCTAGACTGTTCTAGGTTATATTGTACTACCCTAGTCTTGGGTTGATTGTACATGTAGACCCAGACTAACTACGCACCTATATCATTTTTCTAATGAGTAAATATCCAACTTAACGTGCCTTAGTTTCCCAAACACTAGACACTGGGAAATCTGATGGCCTTGTTTTATTGTCCCTTGCCCAGGACTCATTCAGTAGCTCTACTGTAAGGAGCAGAGCAAGTGGAGTTAAGAGGGAGGTGGATAATGGGGAGTAGGTGGGACATCAGAAGCCAGAGGCGCTGACAGCTGAGAAGAGGTGGTGAGCCTGCGTGAGGAGCAAGAGCAGACCGCTCACACCTGTCTATTTTTATACGAGCACTTGGCTGCTTGTGTCACTCAGCTCTGAGGGCATCGGTCCCCAAAGCCTATTTTAAGAGACTTCACTTCAATGACTGATACCAGCGACATGCAAATTCTGCCAAATGACTACGGAAAGGGGGTCTCAGCAGCTTTCATGATTGGAAAAGCAGAAATATTGCCTCGGTGCAGGCTGTAGACTTCAAGGCAACTGGTGAGAAGATCACCAAGGAGGAAGAGGCCCAGCGCGCAGGCTCCTCGTGTCCTGTAAGACATTTCACACCTCGCCATCCCTTCCCCGACACAGGGTAAGTGTCTATTGTTTTGATTTTCCTGTTACTTTTTAAGACTTTCTTCACAAGTGGTCTGTCTCCTTTTTGGGCAAAAGGTTTTATATCTACAAGAAAAAAATAAAGGTTGAAGAAAGAACCTTGCCCTCCCTCCTAACCCTCTCTCAGAGGGATGACAGGGGTTGAGTTCTGAAGACTCACGTGGCTTGGCGGTGATCTGATGCATAATTCAGAGGACACTGGATTCTCCTCCTGGAACAGGCCACACACCAAAACGTTCCTCTCCTCACTCATAGCTTCTCGTGTTCCACGCACCGCTAATCACAGAACTGAGCTGGCCAGGTCCACTGGAGACTTGGACACAGGACACACTTCTTATCAAAGCACAAATGGAGCACAAGGGTGCCATTTCACTCTCCTGCTGGCAGGCGCTGCCTCCTCAGTGTCCTACCCAAGCAAGGGCTCTCAGATAACCATGACTTCTGATGACAGTCAACGCTGAGGGCAGGGGAGGGACTCATGACCAGCGCCGGAGAAGAACCGCTGGACCAGGTTCACCAGTGACCAGTGAGGAGACTGAACAGTCTGGTTTCTCTCTCCAGTCCTCCACACGCCGTGCCAGGCAGATCCTTGGGATACGGTGAGGGATAAGGTGGGCCTGGCAGGTGGCCTTATAGGTGCTGAACGTTGAAGCCCTGGACTGACCTCTCACCCCACCAGATGGCCTTCAAACCACAACCGAGGAAAAGACTCCTGAGCCTGGAAGGCTCTACTGCTCCACACAAAGCCCATGTGACTCAAATAGAATACTTGGAAAGAAAAGGGAAAACAAAACAGGATTTGGATAATTGTGGTTAGAAAAATAGCTTCAGGATCATTTGGCCTGAGCATTTGGAAGACTCAGAGGGCCTGAGGAATGCAGTGGATTCCGGGAAGATGGATCCGAACACGCATTCCTTTAGAACACCCAGATACCGAGTTCTCATTTGTTTTCTGGGAACCGATAGTGTCTGAAAAGGGATCGTCCTCTTTGAGGCTGGAGGGCAGAGAAGTACTCTAAGGTTACAGTCAGATGGGAAAAATAAGGGTAGGGAAGAACATCTAATACTCATTAGACTATTGTTTTTAACAAATTCTAATTCTAAACCAACAAGAGGCAGGCAATGAATGTGCTGCTGTAGTAGTCCTCACAGGGACCTCACAAGGTACCCAGCCCCATAAGAGAACTCAGGCTTCCCCACAAGGCGTCTGGCTGGTGGAGTAAATCAGTGAAGCCAACTAGGGCATAACAGGGAGTGGTGGGACTGGGGTAAGCTGGCAAGCACATGCCCTGTCTAAAAGAGTAGCCCTCCTTGGCATCAATGTCTGCAAGAATGCTCAAAGCAGCCGTTGCCAGATCTCTCACTGTTTCGAGAAGGCCTAAATCTACAATTTTATGTAAAAATCTCATAATGTTGGCAAAACATTTTTAAAAAACAATATTATTCATACTAAAAAAATCTACTGGCTGGATTCTGTCCATGGACTTCTGCTTTACAATTTCTGGCCTATCAAAATAAACTACAGACAAAAAGGAAGAAAGCTGGAGTATCATGCTTCCTGATTTCAAACTTTATTACAAAGCTATAGTAATTAAAATAGTATGGCACTGGCATAAATACAGACACACAGAGCAATGGAACAGAATAGAGAGCCCAGAAGTAAACTTATGCTTACATGGTCAATTAATTTACACAAAGGAATCAAAAACATACAATGGGGAAAGGACAGGCTCTTCAATAAATGGTGTTGGGAAAACTGGACAGCCACATGCGAAAGAATGAAATTGAAACACTGTCTTACACCATACACAAAAATTAACGCAAAAAAGATTAAAGGCTTGAATGTAAGACCTGAAACCACAAAACTCTTAGAAGAAAACACAGGCGGTAAGCTCCTTGACATCAGTCTTGGTGATGAGTTTTTGGATTTGACACCAAAAGCAAAGGCAACAAAAGCAAATATAAACAAGTAGGACTAAAAAGCTTCTGCACAGCAAGGAAACCATCAACAAAATGAAAAGGCAACCTACTGAATAGAAGAAAACATTTGCAAATCATATATCTGATAAGGGACTAATATCCAAAATATAAAAAGAACACATACAATTCAAAAGCTAAAAAACAAACAAGCTTATTAAAAAATGGGCAGAGGATCTGAAGAGATATTTTTCCAAAGAAGATATACAGGTGGGCAACAGGTACACGAAAAGATGCTCAACATCATTTAATCCTCAGGGAAATGCAAATCAAAACCACAGTGAGATATCACCTCACACCTGTTAGAATGGCTATCATCAAAAAGACAAAAAATAACAAGTGTTGGCGAGGATATGGAGAAGAGGGAACCCTTGTGCACTGTTGGTGGGAATGTAAATTGGTGCAGCCACTATGGAAAACAGTACGGAGGTTCCTCAAAAAATTAAAAATAGAACTATCATGTGATCCAGCAATTCCACTTGTGGGTATTTATCTGAAGGAAATGAAGACTAACTTGAAACGATATCTGCACCTCCGTGTTCATTCCAGCGTTATTTACAACAGCCAAGACATGAAAACAACCTAAGTGTCCATTGCTGGATGAATGGCTAATGATGTGGTGTATATATATACACACACACACATACATACATACACAACGGAATACCACTCAGCAATAACAAAGAATGAAATCTTGCCATTTGCAACAACATGGATGGACCTTGAAGGCATCATGCTAAGTGAAATAAGTCAGAGAGAGAAAGACAAATACTGTATAATCTCACTTATATGTGGAATCTAAAAGAAAAAACAAGCTCGTAGATTCAGAGAACAGATTGATGGTTGCCAGAGGCAGGGGGCGGGGGTGGGCGAAAAGGGGTGAAGACCATCAATAGGTCCGAACTTCCTTATAAAATAAATAAGTCATGGGGATGTAATGTACAGCATGGTGACTATAGTTAATAACACTGTATTGCGTATTTGAAAGTTGCTAAGAGAATAGATTTTAAAAGTTCTCATCACAAGAAAAAAAAATTCTGTAACTGTATGGTGATGGATGTTAACTAGACGTGTTGTGATGATCATTTCTCAATATATACAAATATCGAGTCATTATGTCGTACACCTGAAACTACAATCATGTCGTATGTCAATTATACCTCAATAAAAAAATAACCTGCAACGTATAACTTTCTAAGACAAGATATATGTCCAAGAAATGACGTACAAACAATACAATTACAGTCTTTGGGGAATGGAATACTGCTTAGAGATCAGATCAATCCAGATTTGGGATGAGAAGCTGAGGCCTAGAGAGTTGAGCAAGTGCCTGGTGAGCAGCCCGGGCGGATGAGAACTAGAAGCGCCGTCTTCTGCCGTGAAGGCCAGTCCAGTCCAGGGCCCCCCCTCCACGGCAGCCGCCTAGCCAGGCACCTAGACCGGAGACCGTAGAGCCCGTCACGCTTCTCCTCCCAGAATCAGCTGGTGCCTGAGTCCGTCTTTCTGTGCTTCACGTCCTTTACATCTTCATTACAAGAGGGAATTGACGGGATTGCGCTGACTGGTGAGAGAAGGAGAAGCTGCTCAGGAGGAGGCTGTGGGCAGCACTTCCAGCCGGGGGGATCCAGCCCTTCGGCCCCCACCTGTGCCCTTTCCTGTAACGCTGTTACACTGCGCGTTTCATTCCTAACCGGAAACTCAAGTCGGGGTTTCAACTCCCCTGCAAAAAGCCCTCGGACTACGCAGCTGAAAGCGCTCTCTCCTTCCTCCAAGCCCCCCGGACGTTTTGCAAACCTCTCCTTAGGCACCGCCTCTCCAGCTGCATCAGCCATCCCCCGCTTCGGCTGAGCGTGCGAGGCGCCTGGGAGCCTAAAATCGCCCGATACTTGGGCTTCACCCCAGCCAGTTGACTCAGAATCTCCAGGCCCAGGTCGTTAGTGTGCAGCCAAGGTTGAAAACCCCTGAAAATGCCTAAGAGCAAGACCAGTTGCATGGTCTGCACGGCCCCGATGCGCAATGGAAATGGAGGCTCCTGTTCAAAAAGTAGGAATTTCAGTGACAGAAAAGCGTTAACTCCCTCTAGGTGCAGGGCCCTGACTAGAATTGCACATTTTAAATTACAGTTATTAGGTTTTTCAAAAGTGTTTTTACATTTATAAATGACATTGTTCTTTTTAATTTCATTTTCTAATGTTTATCGTAAACATAGCAATACATTTTTGCAAGTTGATTTTGTATTTAGTGACCTTGATAAATACACATAAATTCTAATATTTTATCTATAGAGTTTTGGGTTTTCTGCATACACACTCATATCATCTGAGAGTTATGGCAGTTTTATTTCTTCTTCCCAATATTTATAATTTGTATTTCTCTGGCTTGTCACTCTGACTAGGCCCTCCAGTACAATGTCATATGAAGTGGTGTTAGTGAACTTTGTTGTTTTACTCAAATTCAGGAGAAAAGCATTCAATATGTCACCATTACTTATAATATTTACAGTAGGTGTTTTACAGATTTTCTATTTCGTAATAAGGAAACTTCCTGCTTTTACAGAGAGGTTTTTTTTTATCATGGTTAGGTGATGAATTTTACAAATGCTTTTTAGGACATTAGTTGAGATGAGCATATGGTTTTTATCCTTTATTCAATTAATATGATGAAGTACATTGATTTATTTTGAATAAATTTTTGAACTTGTTTATTCCTGAAATAAACCTCACTTAGTCTGCTGTATTATCTTTTAAAATATTACTGTATTCAGTTAGATAATATTTTGTTCAGAATTTTTATGTCTAGGTTAATGAGAGCTATTGATCTATAATTTTCCTTTTCATAATGTCCATGTCAGGTTTGGTTTTAGGGTTATGCTGGCCTCATAACATGAGTTGAGAAGAGTTCCTTTGGCTTAGAGTTTTTCAAAAGTTTTGTGTAAGATTAGTATTATTTCTTCCTTAAATGCTTGAAAGATTCAGAAGCGAGTCATTTGAGCCTATAGTTTTCTTGGGGGGGGGGCAAGATTTTAATTGTGGATTTAATATTTTTATGAGGTAATTCAGATTTTCTATGTCTTCTATCAGTTTTGGGTAAATTATGTTTTTAAGAAATTTGCCCACTTTGTTTAATTGTCAAATTTAGTGACATTAAGTTGTTTGCAACACTCTTCTTTCTCTGGCAGTTTGTGTTTTTACTCATTTTATCTTGATCAGTCTGGTCAGGGGTTTATTAATTTTGTAAGTAGTTTCAAAATATCAACTTTTGGTCTTGTTACTTTTCTCTGCTGGGTGCTTGTTTTACATGTCATTGATTTCTGTTTTTACTTTATAATCCCCTTTCTTTTATTTAGAGCATTGATTTTTGAACATTTCTGCTTTCTTAATATATATGCATTCAATCCCAGGCATTTTTAAGTTTATGTTTGATGTTCATGTACTAGCTTCTTGAGATAGAGGTTTAAATTGTTGAATTTCAATCTTTCTTCTTTTCTAATGTATGCAATTAAGGCTAAACATTTTCCTCTAAGCATTGTCTTAGCTGAAATCGGTAAGTTTTGGTACGTTGTATTTTAATTATGAGCAAGTTAAAAATGTTTCTAATTTCCTTCCTAGTCTTTTTTTTCCCCAAAATATTTTGCCCATTTTTAGTTGAGACTTCCTAGTTTTTATTTGACCCATAGGTTATTTAGAAATATGTTTTTTAACTTCCAAATATGTGTATCTTCTGGTTATCTTTTTCTTTTTGATTTCTAGTTTAATTCCACTGTGGTCAGTGGTCAGAGAACACTGATTGTATATGATTTCAGTCTTTTGAAATTTGTTGAGGCTTGCTGTGTGGCTCAGAATATGGTCTGTGTTGGTACGTGTCCCTTGTGTCCATGAAAAAAATTGTAGTCTGCAGTATTGTTGTTCTTTGCAGTATTATATACATATATATAAAATTTATATATATATAAAATAGGTCAAGTTGATTTTTTGTGTTGTTCAATCTTTTACATCCTTACTGACTTTTTGTCTGCTGTAACAGTCCCTGAGAAAGGTATGTTAAAGTCTCCAACTATGATTGGGCATTTGTCTCTTTTCTTTATATATTTTTAAGATATATATAGATAGAGATATAGTTATTCAGTGCATAGAAATTTAGGACTGTTATATCTTCCTGTTAAATTGATGTTTTTAGGGCCTGCCCCGTGGCTTAGCGGTTAAGTGCGTGCGCTCCACTACTGGTGGCCCGGGTTCGGATCCTGGGCGTGCACCGACGTACCGCTTCTCCAGCCATGCTGAGGCCTCGTCTCACATACAGCAACTAGAAGGATGTGCAACTACGACATACAACTATCTACTGGGGCTTTGGGGAAAAAAAGGAGGAGGATTGGCAATAGATGTTAGCTCAGAGCCGGTCTTCCTCAGCAAAAAGAGGAGGATTAGCATGGATGTTAGCTCAGGGCTGATCTTCCTCACAAAAAAAAAAAAAAAAATTAAATAAATAAATAAATTGATGTTTTTATCATTATGAAATATCCCCCTTTATTTCTAATAATTTATTTTTTCCTTAAAATCTACTTTATCTGTTGGTAATTTATCTATACAAGCTTTACTTTTAGTGCTTGCTTGATATCTGTTCTATTTAATCCTATGTGTATCTTTATATTTAAAATGTGTCTTTTATAATCAGCATATAATTGTTTTTTAATCTAATCTGATATTTTTGTCTTTTAATTTAAGTATTAGTTCACTGACATTTAATGAAATTACTGATACATTTAGTTTTAAATCTATCGTCTTGGTAATTTTTTTCCATTTGTCCCATCTCTTCTTTGTTGTTTTATTTTTCCTTGCTTGCTTTATTTATTAATCAAGCATTTTTATTATTCTGTTTTAATCTATCAGCCTATTACTTATATTTATACTTAGTAATTCTTGTATTATTATTTTAGTGATTAACCATGAGATTAAAAATACATCCTGGACTTAGTATAGTCTGTCTTAAATTAGTACTTGTACTACTTCCTGAAGAGTGCATGAAACTTAAAACAGTTTAACTTCATTTACACCCCTCCTGCTTTTTTTTTTTTTAATTTGGTGCTATTATTGTCATATATGTTACCTATATTTTATTTAATTTACTTATTTTTGTGAGGAAGATTAGCCCTGAGCTAACATCTGTTGTCAATCCTCTTCTTTTTGCTGAGGAAGATTGGCCCTGGGCTAACATCCATGCCCATCTTCCTCTACTTTATATGGGACGCCCCCACAGCATGGCTTGATAAGCGGTGGGTAGGTCGGCACCTGGGATCCGAACCTGTGAACTCCAGGCAGCTGAAGCAGAGCGCTCAAACTTAACTGCTACACCACCAGGCCGGCCCCTACCTATATTTTAAACCCCATTAAGTCATTATTAATTTTATTTACCTTCACATTTTCCCTTTTAGGTGCTCTTCTTTTCTTCCTACATATGTGTACTTCCACCTGAGGTATTTTCCTTCTGTCTGAAAAGTTCTCTTTAGTACTTTTTTAATGAGAGTTTGTTTATCTGAAAGTGTCTTATAGGCATTTTTTCCTTTGAGCTCTTAGAGCATGTAAAGATGTCATTACATTGTCTCCTGGCTATCAAAAA